GAAAGTGTTACGATTCTTCAAAAAACAAGTAAAGTCAGACCATGTTCTTCTTTGGACTATAAGAAATGTATGTACGCACTGTTGCTGTGGATTTATCGGTAGATATTCTGATTTGTACGTAATGTATCTACCTACTTATTAAGATAAAATTGTGGAGTTGCAAGTGATGATGTTTATGGATTTATATGTCTTCAATAAAGGATGACTTCTTTCAAGAGCCTTTTTATTTTTTATCGACAAGTATGTTTGTGAAGTAGTCGGTCAGATAGCTCAGCGGACTGTGCGGCTGCCTCTCATTCGCTTCACTGTCGAATGGTTCAGTGGATGTGGGATCGAGCCCCAGCTCGGTGTACAGAAAACAAAAAGTCTACTGTAGCAGTTTAAAATTCTAGATGAATCTGCGGCTTAGACTAGAATATGCTGGGATCTGATCGGCCTATGGTGGAGCAGTACGGCAAGAGATAAGGGCTTGCGGCTCGGTGATGCTCCTCCATATATCCCTACCGGACGGGCGTAACGCCTAAAAAACCTATTATATATATATATATATATATATATATATATATATATATATATATATATGTTTGTGAAGTATATTTTGTATATATATACCGAAATGTCTATGGAAAAAGAGGCCTGAAGGAGGAAATTCTTCTTCTAGTGCCGTTTCCACTAATGAAAGTTGGCTATAACCATTGCAAATTCGTCTCTATCTTCTGCTTTTCTTAAGGGCGTCTGTGATATTTGGATATTTGTCAATTTCCTCAACACAGGAAATCATATAAAACAAAAAGCTTTCTTTGAAGGACCTAGTTGAAAGTAAACAGAATCTTAAAAAAAGTCGCAAGAAAGCAAGATAAGACTATTATACGAAGTACGAAGCGCACATTGCATATTCTTTCTATAATGAATGCATTCCGGACATTGTTAGAGTACTCCAAATGCATTTGTCGACTAATTACATAAAAATACCGTAACTGAATTGATACGTACGACCATCTAATGAGAAACTAAGCTTTTTGTTGTGTTCACATTCAATAACATGAGATTCCTTTCACTGAATTGATTAACAAAAAGAAAAAGTCTATGTACCATTTGTAGATATATTTTTATCTATTTAAAAAGAAAATAAGGAATGGCATTTAGGAATGCATTTCTTAGAATAATATAGAAAATCGGAAAATATACCAGGGAAATATGAAGTTATTTTACTAATTAAAAATAATTGAAATTAAAAATATTATTGGCCCTCAAATTAGAGTGGTTGTGGTTGATTATCACGTAGAAGGTATCACGTAGTGGCTGATTCCTGGCCTCGACGAAGACATCCACATATTTTTAACATCGCCTCAAGTCGACCCTTAATAAAATAAGTTATCATTATCATCATTTTCGAGCATCTCACGTACTCTATTTCTAGATACATATATTTATATTCACACAAAAGTTTTTCTAATGGTTGAACTCTTCCATTTAACGTAATAAATCAGGCTCTATTTAATTGTATATCTTTTTGTTTTGCTTGCTCTTGATGTCTAATGGTCTGGATAGAAAGAAAAATCACCGGAAGTGAAGAACAAAGTGAATTTCGACCAGGACGATCCTGCGTTGACAACACATTTACCTACACTAAAGAATCTAATAGAAAAGAAATGAATAAGATAAATGAAATTTCATAACATTTTTATAGACCTGCGAAAGATATTTGACTTACAGAGACAGACAAGCGGTCGTTAAGTAGTCGAAATGACAGTCGAAAACTTCTAAGGCATTCTACAAACGAAAGATGTTTAACAGAGCTTATGTCTTTCCCAAGCCTTAAAATTTATTTCATCGTAGCTTATGTATAACAGTGAACAAGAAAAGACAGTACCATGGAGTATGAATAGTACAGAGAGAACTAGAAGAACTCTAGAGAACTTTTCTCAAAAGTCAAGTATCTAGCGAGAGAATTCTTCGCAGACACAGATCATCTAAGATAATAGTGGAAATACCATAATAAACCCAGACGTATCGCAGAGATGTGGAAACATTTTTGAGAAATACTATTCTGTAACAACGACCCAGACAATAATACAGAGAAAAGAAGTTATGAAAAAGAACCTCAAATATTGAAATCAGAAATTGGGGCGGTAATTAAAAAGCTAAAATTCAGAAAAGCGGAAGGAGAAGATGGAATAACAGCTGAAACACTCAAAAAAATGGGATAATTAGAGACGGAAGTAATGCTTGGAATTTGCAGTGAGATCTGAAATATCGAAATTTGACCAAATGACTGGGGTAAACTCACGTTTATTCCCATATTAAAAGGTTCACCGACAGATTGCAGTAATTACCGTACGGTAGCATTGATATCACACGCGAGCAAAGTAGTACTAACCATAATGAATGAAAGACTAAAATCAATTCTCTTACCACAAATTCCTTAAGAACAATGCGGATGAAGAGGCTATGATTTACCCAATACTGACGTATGAAGATATAGCGAGAGAGGGTCTGTAAAGGGATAAACCAAGATGGAAACATGTGGAACAAGTAATTACGCAGTGAAGATAACAACAAAAACAATATTAAGATCTGTTAAATCATGTAAATTAGAGCATATCCTCTTGGTTCCTTTTGCTAGTTCTATCTATTGCAGAAGGATCGGAATATTGCAATATCCATATCTAGACAAATCCAATATTTCTAATCGAATTTTGTGGAGTACTTATTATAGCACCTAAACACACATGCAAATCATATTCTATTACCCTTTTCATAAAGGGTTTCACAGGGACGTCTTGTTATCTAATCGGAAACAGTATGGTCTATTTATTCAATCAGACAATTTACAGCTGCATTTCATTGAGCGGATACACAATTGATTTAACTGAATAATTTGTTTGGCACTTTCGCTGCAACGGACGCCAACTTGTCGATTCAGGTTCTGTATAAGTTTACAGAAACAAAAGTACAAAAATAAAGAATTACATTACCTAAATATTATATTTATAGGGGATTAAGCCACAATTTATTTTAACTATTGTTTGACGTTTCGATTTCAATTCCGGAAATCGTTTTCTAAAAAAGGTTTGCGAAAATATATAACCAACAAAGTTATTACAGGTTATGTGTTTGTGCCCTCGGGATATTAAATTCTGATTGTTTTGTGTGTTTTTGTCTTATTTGTTTGTGTGTTATTAATCTGTGAAATGTATGTTTATGTAGGTATATGTTTGTGTATTCTAGATGATATGTCTTCGACTTTCCATCCGCTATTGTTGGTATATTCTTGTTATTGAATTTTTCTTCTAGTATTGACAACCAAAGTCTACTACATTCTGCTAATGGGTTTATTTTTCTTCATTAACCCCTTACTGCATGATTATTTTTTCAATTAAAAATTAGTAAAAATATAAAAAAAATCCTACATTGTTAGTTTTTTGTATTTTTTTATTTTTTTTTGTGTGTCATGTAGCACACTATGCATTAAAACAAGATTCAACAAGTAAAATTAATAAAAAAAATACGTTTATTACTTTTTAATTAATTATTACTATTATTACTTGTCGCTTTATACCGTTCTCCGCCGTTTTCCGACTTCCAATCACCACTTATTCCGGTTGTTCCATAGGTCTTCTTCTATGGCCCTCTCTCTCAGTTCTTTATTTATTCCTTCGCTTTAACTTTTAACGTTTACCTCGTTTTCTCTTTCCTTCTGGTTTCCGTGGCTACCGGAGGGATAAATACATTCCCTGTTGAGCTCTACATTCTTTGGGTGCTCCACTATAAAATATGGCCATATTTTCCTAAATTTTCAGAGCCGATTCCCTTCTTTTTTGTTTCGTTAATGACTGCTATGTCTATTTTTAGTTATGTTAATTCATGTAAGACTTCATTGAGTTTTTTTGATATATCTTGAACGTTAAATGTACCAAAAAATCGTGTCCTTTTTCAAAGCTTATGTCGTCATTGTTTTGCCCTCTTATTTCGAGTCGTGTGATTGGATTTTTTAACATTTTTATGTTTTTACAAGTACTGGGGTGTTAGCCCAATGCCTTAACCCCCAACCTGGAGGACCAGAGGTTTGTGTTCAGAGTCTCCCTCTCCTAGACGCGTTGCGGGATCTACCTCTAACGGATTCTGTCCACCCTTTTTAATTTTATACGAACCCTAAAATCGTGGGTCGCAACTTCCGCGATACACAATGTACCGAAGATGTTCTTCTCCGCCGTGGATACCATTGTGGTCTTCATTCGTGACCCAGGACAAGGGACCCTAATCAGGTACTAGTTTCCCGGGTGAGAAAACTCCTGGAATCTGCGGAGGGCAGGGATTGATTCACTTTCCCTGGTAGGACTGTCCAAAGGAGTTCCTACCCGCTACCCGCAGTTTTAAAACCTCTGCAATTAAATTATTTGCAAAAAAAATGAAAAACGATTTTAACTCTCTTTTCCACAACATTTTATTTCCACAACATTTTATTAAGGGCATATTTTGGTCCAATTCCCCTAATTCTAGTCTATGTCCCAACGGTTAATCTCACCCTGTACAATACAGATTAAAAAATTTTCATTCAGTTAAGTACTTGTTCAATGAAAGTGCAAAAAATATTACATGAAACAAAAAATTGCGTGCTTCCTCAAGTCGGTTATGAACTTTTTTTGTGCTGAAAACATTTGGTAGACGATAGCAATGTCAGGAATGCATTCATTCATCCTAGAACAAAACACTCCATGTCCGTTCTGTACCACCATATCAATTATTCTGTTAAATAAATTTGAAGTCGTCCATTAAAATGCAGCTGTAAAATAAAATTGTTTGATTGAATAAACAAACTGCCTACATTGCCTATACGCATGTATGCGGTATGTGTATATTGTGTATATGTATATCGCTGACTCTCCACTCCATCGCGCTTTTATTTTAGATCGCGCCGTGCGCTTTTCGTTTAGTATCGTTTTATTCATCGCGCAGTGAAGATGTTGGTGTATCTGAACAACTTTTTTCTGTTACAGTGCGATGACCAGAACTTTGTGAAATGTAACTATTCGGAAGGACCTTCGGTGTGGGCCGGGTCTTTCGAAAAGCTGTTGGCTGATCCTTTGGGACTTCACATGTTTGCGGTAAGTAATTTTCTATTATTACATTAAAAGTATTAATATTTAATACTTTATAATTAAATTAGGTAGAAAAATGTACTTTGGATCCTCTAATTTTCAATATATTAGCTGCTGTGATGGTTTTAATAAGAATATTCAAGGAAATACCGAAAATATTAATGATACTACACGTGTATATGTGAGTTGAGATCATTTTTATTTTCTCTATTGTTTTAATTTTTCTTTCTTGTTCTCTGTATTGTTCAATGTTTCCATCGTCATTCTTGATGACATTTTTAAGAATTCTGTATTTTTTTGACCTGCCTGCTTTGATCTGTTCGTTTTGTTCGCACCAGCTATGTAGGTATGCTTTTAATTCTTATAATCTCTCAATGTAATCGATTTCTAAAGATTTCTTAATTGTCCTCATTTGTTTCTTATATACATTTGTCGCACGAAGCATTTTAATGTTTACTCTTCTTCAATACAATCGATTTATGAAGATTTCTTATATTGTCCTTGACAAACTTATCCTCTGATTTATTAGTTCTTACAATATGGAGATCACTTTTCTAGTTCTTCTTTTTTCTAGTATTTTATTGTGCTTTTATCTTTTTATTATTCTTCTTCTTTTTATATAGACATGGCTCTGTCTGTTATTCAATGTGCCTCCAGTAAGTTGTTCCATCGTTTTCGTGATCTTTACTACTCTATTTGTTGTCATTCGGGTTATATGATCGTTTCATTCTACTCTTCTATTTCTTACCCAGTTCTTGATGTTCTCCAGAAAATTTTCAGCTGTTTCTAACATCGTTTTTGTCTTCTCTGTCAGGTCTTTTTTCATTCGCGTATGTCCTTATTGGTCTGATGACTGTTTTGTAAATTCTGCTTTTCGTTTCTTTCCCGATGTTTTTATTTCTCCATATTGTTTGATTTAGGCAGTCTGTGGCTCTGTTTGCTCTATTCACTTGACCTTTCACTCCAGTTTCGAGCTTTTTGTAGCTCGATAAGTCACTTGAGAAAGGCAATCAGCCGAAACAGCTGTAGTGATAAGAGTTAAAATAAATTTTTGTGGAAGTTTGAAAACAAAGTTTTCAGTGTTTTATTGTTACATAAAATGAATTTCCATCAAGTAACGGTCGAATCCATCAATTAATATAATTCTATTTTGAGACACATGTACTTCTCGTTTTGTTGCTAGCAGTCACTCGGTCTAGTTGTAGTCACATTATGTGCAAGATAATACACAATAACAATATATGGACATGTATTTTGTCGTCGGTCACTGCAGTTGTTGACATTTGCCTCTATCTCATATGCTCTAATCATAACCTAAAAGTTAAATAATGTGAAAAACAGTTTCTTGCGTTCAACAATCAATACAAACACATTTTTTTTTATATTTGTTCAATTTTTCTTGCATTCCTTTAATTTTGACCATAAGGATTGGTTTTATGAACTGTTAATATGATTTTCCACATAATTTTCATGTTATTAACGAAGAATCTCTTGGGGAAAAAGGGTTTGCCAAGTCGTGGAAATAAAACGAACACGGAAATCGATCTATCTTGTTATATCTTGTTATTTATCTGCATAATAAGGTATACAATATCAGAAGAATAACAAACATATCCTTGTCTTGATATACACTGGCGGCTCTTACCTTGGGACAAAGCAGATTAAAGCTCTGAAACTACTTTAATGCAATATAGTAAATAATATACTTGTGAGAACCAATCTTGTTTTAACGAAGCATATTGTTTGTAATACTCTCCATGGTCCTTGTGCATCATTAGTTCAAAGACGTGTGACATTGATGATAAAACTACAACTCAATATTGGAAATGCTGACGAGTGGTTATGCACATGCATTACTATCATAAAATATCGGAATCACGTGTCATGATTACAATGTAAATTTAGCTTTGTTATTTTAATTATACCCATTGACATGTGATTCTGGTGACCTACAGCATACATGGTAATTGCACGTGCCCAGTTATTCTCACCTCAAATATTGTGTTGTATACACCATTATAAAGATATATCTTGGTACGCCCTCAGTAAGATATGCCGCTCTGATATCGGTACATCTCAAAAATTATTGTGTCGAAGACAAATCGGACTTGTATCGATAGTGTGTTTACTTATTTGATTATTTTCATTCTATCTTCGATCATTTTTATTCCTGATCAATACCATGCCATCATAGGTAAGAGTAGACTAATTATATATGCTCGAAGATTGTTTTTTCTAATCATGCTAGACAAAAAAAAAACTTTAAATGAGTGGCGATGAACTGGCTTCTCACAAAGAAGTTGCCATTCCTGGCAACTTCCCTCCATCTTCTGACCCTTAGAATCTGTAGATCTTCTTCCACATCATCAATCCATCTCTTTCGTGGTCGTCATCTGCTTCTTGTGTCTCTATGTCTCCCATACTTCTGCCCACTATAACTATATCGTCAGCGAATGCGAGAATTTGCGTCGATATATTAAAAATGTTCCATTCATTCTAATATTTGTCTGATTGCTTTTTCCAAGGCAATATTAAAGAGGAGACACGCCAGCTCGTCCCCCCGTCTTAGACCATTATTGCATTATATATTGCACTTCTTTTCATACTGTCATAGGCTGCTTTGAAGTCGGCGAAGAGATGGTGTGTCTATGTTATATTCTAGTGACGTTTCTAGAATCTGCCTATCTGCTTGAATATGATGTGTAGTTGACTTTTCAACAGTAAATCTGCATTGATATTGACCAACAATATTCTTTGTAAAATGTTTAAGTCTTTCAAACAATACATTGCCGAAGATTTTATATGCAGATGATAATAGCGTAATGCCTCTATAGTTCTTATACTCCAGTTAATCACCCTTTTTATGCAACGGACAGATTACTTCGTTTAGCTACTCTTCTGATACCCATTCATTCTGCCATATAAGTACTATTAGTTTATGGTTTGCTGCAAAAAGTTGATCACCATCTTTTTTATACATTTCCGGACAGATTTCATCGATTCCTGGGGCTTTATTGTCTTTGAGTTTTAGGATGACATTTGGCACTTCTTTTCTTGTTAGGTCTTTACTGTGTAGTTGACGTTGTAGATTTTGTTGATTTTCTATGTTGTAACCTCTTTCAATATCGTTTATATTTATATTTTCTCTAAAATGTTGTGCAGGTCTGTTAAGAACTGAGTTTTTGTCATATAGAATTTCTTGTTATTATTTATTGCTGTTTCATAAATAGTAAGAAATCCTATATAAAAATCTAGCAGATGCACAAAAATCTGTACACCAGTTTCTGTCTGGAGTTCTTCTCCCTACTTTGTATTATCTTGTACATTTTTTTAAATGCATTATATTCAATATTTTTCGTCCTTCCATTATATTATTGACCTTAAAGTATTTACAGCCTACATACAATTACAAAACAACCGAAATAAAAGGAATGCTTTTAAATCTTGTATAACAATACCAAGATCATCATCTATTATGGTCAAGTCTTGACCTTGTATCGGAGATTTTTGTACCCGCAGAGAATAAACGGATTCTGCATGTGTTGCGAAAGTATTACGTCTCTGAGAGACTCATATGAATTCGCCGGTTCAGATTCCAATAATTCCTTTCCTTCTGCGATTCTAAATATCGTCGTTTACACAGCATACAAGTTTATCAATGCGAGCACTTTACGTGGTAAAGCAATCTCAACTATCCACACTCGAAAAATATTCATTATATACTCATATAATATTTATATTTTATTTCCGATTATACATTTCGGAGGTTCTAGAGCTTGTTTACGTATTTTCCTATGGCACGCTTGTTGAAAAGCTTTAATGGAATATTTGCATGATCTTTTACGTCATTCATTCATGTGAATCACATCGATAACATTGTATAACATTGTAATCAATACAATGTTGTTTTAGCGAGACCATAAAAGCTCCAATGTTTATGATCTATAGTAGCGGCAGCATTGAAAAGGTATTACAAAAGATGCCGACTGGAATGAACGAATTATTATTTTCAAGAGACAGGTCGTTGGAAAATCATAAGTTAAGAAATTTTCAAAGGAATTAGTTAACAATTTCGCCTTAACCCTTTATAGGTTTATTGGTACATAATATGTGTAGGTACCACTTGCTGTTATTCGTAACTGAATACTCATTCGGAAACCGGAGTTCGTATAGCTCATATAGTTATAACCGGAGATTAAAGGTCATTCAATGATTGTTATGAATGAATTTTTATAGTATATCCTGTCCAAAAAATAAATCATCAGTGTTACATTTGTCGTTGGAAAACCGTTTTTTATCTGAGAAATGTTTTGAGGTAGGTAGTTGTCAAGTCTAACTTTAAAAATTAGGTAATTATCGTAATGTAGATTCAATGTGATTCTTCATTAAACTTGGCAAAAACTATACTGTTCTTTCGATGTTGTATTTATTTTCTAAGGTTCATTGATATTATCTGCACATTTTTATGACTTTTATTCTTGGAGAAAAAATATTTCTTATACTTGATTTGGAAGTGCTCGATAGCACAGTTTTTATGACAAAAGATTACAATAGTCTTTTTTCGGAACTTTTCAAAGCAGATCAATACCTTCTTATCTTAGTTTTGTACAAGAATTTATAAAAATAATATGACTGTATTGGTACATATTGCGATACATTCGAATATAATCCAACATAAAATACAAATAAGTAAGTCCTTAGGGTTTAAGCCAGATATGCACGCTTCAGTGGTGGAGAAGATGAATATTTTGCTAGGGTTTTCTTCCTGTTGACATTTTCATTGCTTCTTTGATGGTTCCTTGCTTTCTTTGTTAAAAAGTCTATAAATGGTTGCTTTCGCAACTGTTGTCATGGTTAGGTACTCTGGAATTATACTTAGATCAGTACTAGTGTTGTAAATTTAATGCTACAGTGCTACAGCTACATTTAAATGTGGGAATTGGAAGTGTATTGGATGCGTTCACGTTAAAACTGGAGATGTGCACACTCCGATGTCTCGTTTCGAT